CTCCTGTGGCACCTGCTGCGACGACCCCGGCGGGGCAGGCTGCGAGCTTGCATTCGTCCATTGCGCCGTGGATCTGCGCAGCGAAGGAGAACGCGCTGCCAACTAGCTTCGCGTCCGCCCGCTCGCCCGTCGTGGGGTTCACGGCGCGCGGGTCACTTTCCTCGAAGACAAACCTGCACTGCTTGCGCGCCAGCTTACCGAGGCTGAGCACCGCCCCCCGAGGGGCGAGGTCGTTGCCCACTCTGAGTTGCCCCGAGCATGGCTGGCGACCCTTCTCGCCACTGACGACCATCGGGGTCCTATGGGGCCCCTCGGTACCAAGCCTCCTGCCGCTCACCGTGGTGAGCTTGGGCGCTGCGGGGTCACCCTGAACTGTCGGATGCTGTGATCCGAACGCCTGGCCGCAGAGGTGCTCGCCGCTGCCGCTGTCTGCGAGGATGAGCCCTCTGCGCTCCTCCCTGCGGCAGCCTCCGACCGAATTCCTGACTCCAAAGACCCAGCCAACCTCGTCGCCGTCGGAGCCCGCGGCCACCGCGCCCACGGTCCTCGGGCCCTCAGCGCCCGCAGGGGCCTGCTGGACTGCGGCCGCCTTCGGGGGCGCTGCTGACGGCGCCCGTGGCTTGCCAGCCGCCTTGTGCCAGCAGTCCTTCTCCTTGTGCCCCTGCTTCAGGCACGAGTTGCAGGTCCCCTCGAACCTGGCGGGGTTGCTGCCCTTGAGCATGTCATGATTGACTCCCTTATTGCTGCCTTTGCCGCCCTTGTCGCCCTTGCCGCCCATTTTGTCGCCCTTGCCGCCCCCCGACTTGTCGCCCTTGCGCTTGGGCCAAGGCTGTTGCGGCAGGGCATGGCCCGAGATCGCACCGATCCCCATCGGCGCCGCGCCTTGGTCCACCGTGCCGCTAGCTGCGAAGACCTGTCCAGGCGCCATCCGCTCTCTCAGGTGGGTCCTCAGCGCCATATGCGAGACCTTGACGGCCGTCGGAGCGTTGCGTAGCACGGTCTTGTACGGCTCGGGGCTATGGACGAGCAGCGTGGTGATGAAGAACTCATCGCCGGAATCCTTCCCCGCCTGCATGACGTACCTCGCCGTGTTGTCGTTCCAGTCAACGAGCTGGTCAGCGAACAGCTTCTGGTCGCCCCACCTGGGGTTGAGCAGGCCGCTGAGCATGGCTGCGAACCTGTTGCCCACCCCGGGCTCATACTCGCTTTTGATCGCTCGCCATGCAACGAAACCCTCGTGCCTGCCTGCGAGCGTAACCATCGCCAGCGCCTTGCGCTGGGTCTTGGTGATCAGCATGGCGTGCAGCAGCTTGCTCGTCGCTGCCGCGCGCTCGCCCATGCTGACGTTGTCCACCGCGAGCGCTGGCTGGGCCTCAACATTGTCGATGGGGCCATCCCAGCCCATCAGCGCGAAGAACGCGTGGGCTTTGATGGGCCAGCTGGGCCAGTCCTCATCTCTGCCGCTGAGCTCTGGCAGCTTGGCGTCGCCTCTGCAATCCACCAGCTGCTCTCTGGGCGCCGCTGCCATGGGCAGCGCGCGTCCCCAGTCTTCCCGTGGATCTGATCTGCGTAGTTCACCGCAGAACCAAGCTCTCCGCTACCATGGCGGAAGTTACGCGGAAGCGCGGGGAAAGCGTATCTTGGCGCTCTTTTTCCTCCAACGCAGCTCGAACAAAAGGGCCTGCGGGCAAGTTATGAATTGATGGCGTCCGAATCACACAAGATCCCGAACAATTTTGGCACGCCCCTCACACGTTTCGTGGCCCCGCAGGGTGCCCCTCCAAAGGCCCAGCTGCCTGCGTTCGCATGCGCCCACCGCGCGCACTTTGGCACGCCCCCCACACGCTTCGTGGCTCCACAGGCAGCCGCACCGAAGGCCCAATTGCCAGCGTTCGCCTGTGCCCACCGCACCCATGTTGGCACGCCCCTCACACGCTTCGCGTCCCCATCGGAAGCCCCACCGAAGGCCCAAATGCCAGCGCTCGCATGCGCCCACCGCGCAAACTTTGGCACGCCCCTCACACGTCTCGTAGCCCCATGCGGAGCCCCACCGAAATCCAAAATGCCAGCGCTCGCCCGCGCGCGTTGCACCCATTTTGGCACGCCCCTCACAAATTTCGTGGCCCCATAGGGGGCCCCACCGAAGGCCAAACTGCCAGCGTTCGCATGCGCTCAATTGTCTGTTTTTGTCCCACCCCCTATCCTGTGGCGTTGGGTTCTCGCTTTGAAGACACGGTCCCCGCGTTCCTCCTTCCTTCCTCCTCCCCCCCTCCTCCCCCCTCCAACATCATCGTCGCCACTAATTTCAGCACGCCCCTGACACGTTCCGTAGCACCACAAGGGGGCCCCATCGAAGGTCCATATGCCAGCGTTCGCATGCGCCCATTGGCACGGCCCTCACGCGCTTCGTGGCCCCATAGGGAGCCCCGCCGAAGGCCCGCATGCCAGCGTTCGCATGCGCCTACCGCACCCATTTTGGAACATCCCTCACACGTTTCGTGACCCCGTAAGGAGCCCCACCGAAGGCCCAAATGCCAGCGTTCGCATGCGCCCCCCGGACTCATTGTGGCACACCACTCACGCGCTCCGTGAGGATGGTCCGCCCTGCGGGCGCGGTCCGGTGGGTTCGGCGGGTCTGGCGGGTCCGGCGGGTCTGGTGGGTCCGGTGGGTCCGGTGAGTCCGGTGGGTCCGGCGGGTCCGGTGGGTCCAGTGGGTCCGGTGGGTCCGGTGGGTCCGGTGGGTCCTGTGGGTCCGTTGGGTCGGGTGGGCCTGGTGGGTCTGGCAGGTCCGGCGAGTCCGGCGGTCGACGAGTGCCATAGAGTGGGGAAGAGTTCCGATGAGCGGGGAGGAGTGCCGAGGAGTGCGATGCAGTGGGAGGGAGTGGGAAGGAGTGCCGAAGAGCGCTGGGGAGGAGTGGGGAGGACTGCCAAGGAATGCGATGGAGGTGGGAAGATTGAGGTAGAGTGCTGAAGAGAGCGATGGAGTGGGGAACGCTCCCGGAAATTCGGGACGAGTGTAAAGAAGTGAGATGGAAGGAGGAGTCCGGAGAGTCGAGTAATTAATGCCGAGGAGTGCGACGGAGTGGGGGGGTGGGCAGTTCGGAGGGGCGGGGGGGAGTTCGCTGAGGAGTGGGGGTGGGTGCCGAGGAGTGCGAGTGCGGAGGAGTCGGGGGGAGTGCCGACAAGCGCGATGGAGTGAAGGAATTGGGCGGGGTGCTGAGGATTGCGATGGCGTAGGGAGGAGTCCGGAGGATTGGGGAGGAGTGCGATGGAGGGAGGGGTGCAGAGGAATGCGGTCTTCTCGCGGGCCTGCGGGGTGTGATAGGTGCGGTGCGGCCCCGGTCGGCGTGGCCTCGGCTGCCCTTTGCAGCGAGAAGGCGGTTCTGGGGCCCGCGCCTCCTCCTCCTCCTCTTCCTCCTCTGCCTCATTATCCTCCTCCTCCTCTTTCTCCTCCTCCTCCTCCTCTTCCTCCTCCTCTTCCTCCTCCTCCTCCTCCTCCTCCTCCTCCTCCTCCTCCTCCTCCTCTCCTCCCTCCCCCTCCTCCTCCTCCGCCCCCCTCCTCCTCCTCCTCCTCCTCCTCCTCCTCCTCCCTCCTCCTCTCCTCCTCCTCCTCCTCCCTCCCTCCTCCTCCTCCTCCTCCTCCTCCTCCTCCTCCTCCTCCTCCTCCCCCTCCCTCCTCCTCTTAAGATCCTGGCGACGCAAAAAATCGCAACGGGCGATTGTTCAACGTTTGCGGCCTCTGGAAGCCGTCTCCTGGTCCCGGGGCCGCCAAGGAACGACTCGGGGCGAAAAGTCGGCCCTGTGGGGGGACAGCCAAGGAGAGACCAGGCCTGAGGATTGTGTTTGCGCACCGCACCGGCAACAGCCTGTAAAACGAGTTTACTGGATGCTGGAAACGAAACAGAGCGTGGCGGTCACGTCTCTGTCCTTAGAACGCCAACTTTACAGCGCGACCCGGTCCGAGGGGGAAAGTTGACATGGAAATGGCGGGGATGGAGGGCGGAGACTGCTTGAGCCACCCGATCGGCAGTGGCCAATGCTCTCCCTCTGTGCGAACGCGGAGGCGAAGTGAATGGTGAACAAAAAGGGCACGTCGAATGGCGGCAACGCTTTTAAAACTGACTAATTCGTCGCATGTGAACGCGCCGTTAGAAATTCACTGGCTGCGTCTCGAGCGATTCCATCGCGAGACCAGTTGCATGGCGCGCGGCACGTCGAAGCGCAATGCGCATGCGGTTTCCGATGGCGCCCTGAGGCTGCACATATTGGCCCAGAGCGGCCAGGGAAAGGCCGCGCGATTGAAGGTGGTCAGAATCGACGACGCGGGCGAATCGTCGACCGCCTACCAAACGCGCTGCCCTCATGCCTGCGCCGTAGAGTCAGCTGTTTGAAATTGAACTGCCGCTAGAAGAGGAGCTCTCGGAAGTCTCGCAGACGGCCTCTACGATTCGGCCGCGCGAGCGCGCCACGTTCCGCATGTCGATGCACTCGGCCAACAAATAACTAGCGACGTACCGCCCCATCGTTCGCACCATGTGCTTATCCGCCACCGCGCTTCCAGCGCGCCGCCGACCGAGCGAATCGGGGTTTCCCGAAGCCCGGCAAAAGCAAACCTTCCAAACGTGCACACATTGTAGAAGGGCGGCAAACTGCAGCGACGGAGGTCGCATTTCGACGAGCCCCACAGGGGCCATCGGAAACGTCGGAGGTGTCGACCGGCCCCGCGGCGCCTGCGAATCACGGACCAAGCTAGTACGCGGGGCAGCCGAAGGCTAGCATATACTTGGCCGCCCATGAGGAAAGTATTTTTCGCAGATGCTGGTATTGGCGCCGTCGACGAGCTCCTCGATGCCCGGCGCGTCGGAGCAGCAGTTCTCCCTGCGCCATCGGATGAGCCAAGGAGGCTGCTATGGGATGAGCAGCTCGATGCCCGGCAGCAGCCCACCACGCATGCAGTCGTCGGGCGAGCCAAGGAGGCTGCAAGAGCAAACAGGTCCTTCCTATTGGTGCAGTACTTGCGGAGATGACAGGCGTCGTCGTGGATGACGACGCTCGAGCCCGGTAAACGCTGCTTGAGCTCTACCAAAAAGCAATATCGCTGCGCCAGGCTTTCGACGCCGTAGAACTCCTGAGCGTCCACGATGTGCCCGGCGGGCGAGCACGCTACCAGGAACCACCCAGTTCGCCGCACGGCCAAAGAAAAAGGCTCTAGCTGTCCACATTTCCCTCCCTTGGCGTAGCTCTTGTGGGTTTTGCATGAGATCTCTTGCAGCTCCCTGAGTGTTGCGTCCTCCGCAAGCGGCGCGCCCGGGGCGTCGGCGGGCGTCTGGGCAGGCCGCGCCAACGCGGCTCGAGTGGCGTCGCCCTCGCTGCAGCTCGGCGCAGGACACGCCATCCTCCGCCGTTTCCGCGGCCGCGCGGGCGCGCTGTCTGCGCGCGCCGCAGGATCTGATTCCTGCGGCGCTGCTGCTGCTGCCGAGGGGCCAAGCGTGGCCAGGTGGAGCTCCGCTGGTGCTTTCCGTTTTCTGAGGCGGAGACTGGGCACCGGCACCTTCGGCTCGACTTCGCCCGGCGCCCCCGCGGCCTTCTCCTTCGCGGCAGCCGCAGCTCGGGCGACCAGCGTGGACTGCGCGGCACCCCAGCACCCACCCAGCAATGCCGGGAACCACTCGTACAGCTCCCGTCCTGCTGCGACGCCACGTAGAGCACGTCATCCTGGGTGCTCCCCAGACACTCGCGGCGCTGGACCACGAACTCCCCGGTGTCTCGGGCGCCTTCGAACAACGCTGGTTTGTCCAGTAAGCCGGCGTGGCGCGCGCACCAGCGCTCGCGCTGCCCCCTGACACGGGCGGGGCGAGGATGCAAACAAACCTTCCCCAAGTCTGGGTGGTCCCTGTGCCCCCCACGCATCAACCCACAGGAATTCCGGGTCAGCTTCTGATGACCATCTATAACGATCTTGCAGACGGCCCCCATCGGCCTCGGCGCACCGATGCCGCAAGTTCTGGAGGTGGGTCTTCAACGCTGGCCAACGCCCTTTGATGACGTCCTCAAGAGGAGTGGACAAGCGGAGCCGCAAATACGATCTGGACCCCTTGATCTCCGCCAAATGCGTCAACAGCCGCATGAGGTACCACGCTTTCATGAGCTTCATGTGCATGCGCTTCTTTGACATGCCAGAGCCAGGCCACCAATGAACCTCGGCCTCTCTCCAGAACGAAGTGTGCTGGTGCGCCAGACGCCGTGGGAACTGCTGGAGCCAAGTCTGATTAATCCCAAACGTTGGCGATGGCATGAAATGGTCTGGCCACTCCTTGCGCGCCCGCGAATACCTGTGAGCCACCTTCTTAATGGGCACAAAGTTCGCCCACTGGCACCGCCCGCGCGCCGCGCGCCCCGCGGCGCGGCATCGGACGGGGACATGGGTATACTCGCGAAGCCCATCAGCGTCGAGGACACAAGCGGCCACGGCTTGGGCGTAGCACAACTGGCCGTGCGGGCAAGCTTGGCATGCCTGCCCCGGGGGTGACAACTCCCCAACAGTGCTCTTTGCCACCACCGCAGCTGCGAGTCTCTGTTTGTCCACGGAGGTGAGCAGCTCCGCCACGTCGGCCGACTGCAACGCACCCGCCACAGCTGCCTGGTCCATGTCGCGCAGTTGAGCGCGGGGCTGGCGGCGCGACTTGCGCCGACAGTCACTGAATGTATAACGGTTGGCTGCTTGGTGGGTGGACTCGGCGGCTGCCTCGTTGGCCGCCTTCTTGGCAGCCTTGCTGGCCGCCTCGTCGGTTGCCTCGTGGGCTAGAGGTAGCACGTCGAACGGCGTCAGTGCTTTTGAAACGGACGAAATAACCACATGTGAACGTGCCGTTAGAAATTCACTGGCAACGTCTCGAGCGACTCCATGGCGAGACCACCTGCATGGCGCGCGGCGCGCCTAGTGCAATGCTTATACGGTCGGAGGTGGCGCCCCGAGGCTGCGCGTATCGGCCCAAAGCGGCCAGGGGCAGTGCCGCGCGATTGCAGGCGGTCAGGATCGCGCCCCCCCGCCCGTGGCATCGGGGGGATGGCGCGCGGTTTGAAGTGCGCAAGGTCATGCGCCGATGACCCGGCAGGCGACCCATGTCAAAGCTCTTTAAATGGAGTAATTAGCCGCATGTGAACGTGCCGTTAGAAATTCACTGGCAGCGTCTCGAGCGACTCCATCGCGAGACCAGTTGCCTGGCGCGCGGCGCGTCTAGTGCAATGCTTCTGCGGTCGGAGGTGACGCCCCAAGGCTGCGCGTATTGGCCCAAGGCGCCCAGGGAAAGTGCCGCGCGATTGCAGGCGGTCAGAATCGCGCCCCTCCGCCCGTGGCCTTAGGGGGAGGCCGCGCGATTTGAAGTGCGCAAGATCATGCACCCATGGCCCGGCGGGCGATCCAAAGCCGCATCGCTCGCCGAAGACGGCCGCTCGAGCCCCCGGGCGGTGGGCGGGCAGCAGCCAGGCTCCGCCGCGGTGGGCGGCGTCCGAAGGACAGGCCCGCGTTGCGCGGGCTAAGGGCGCGGGCAGCGGGCCGCCGCGCGCGACGGGCACCCGCGGCGCCGTCAGTCACCCGCGCCCGCGGTGGGCTAGGCCTTCGGCAACAGGGCCCTCGCCTCTCGGCCTGTGAGCCTGCGCATAGCTACCAGCAGATTGTCACTTGGCCATGGCCTCGCGCCCGTCCTCCACCGTCGGCGACCGGCGCCACTTCACCCTGGATTTCGACGTGCCCGTCTCGAGCAATTCGCCCACGGGGTACTGCGCCAGGGCAGCGGTCATGACGTCCTCCCACACTTTCTGGGGCAAGCCCACTACCGCAGAGAATCTTAGATATGAGTGTCGATGTTGTTAAGACGTGCCGCGAGTGCCGCCAGTGCGAGGAGCCTTGCGACGCTACTCAGACAACAAGTTGTCTTGCAGATCGTTTTAACCAGCGCGTTGAGAGCGACATCATCTTCGTCGTCCAGCTCATGATCTACCACTTGGTTGATAAGTGTCCCAGGACTCATGCAGGGTAGGTCGTGGACGACAAGACCACGGCCACCTTGCTACAGGTACTTTGGACAGCATGGATTGGCATCCACGGCCCTATGGAGCAACTTGTTGTTGATGGGGAGGGCGGTCTCAACGCAGCGACTGGGCCCAGGCCACACTCAAGGCTGAAGGCATCGAGTTAACCACCAGAGCTCCCGGGCAGCACGCCCACACAGCAGAACGATCTGGCCAGACGCTCCAGCTCGTGGTGCACCTGATCGTGGAGCAGATGGTTAAGGAGGGCATCACCTTACCCATCGAGGTCGTCGTAAGCCAGGCGTTCTGTCATGAAGGCCATTTAAGGTAAGAGCGGCTGCACCTCTCATCAGTGCGTCTACGGCCGGCAGCCTCCCATGCTACCTCCGATCCCCGGCACGGGCTCCACCGACAGCGCCGACGGGCGCCCAGAACAAAGGGTCCGACAGATTGCTATTAATTCGTTCGTGCAGGCATCCGACCTAGCTCGGACGAGGCGGGCTTTGTTTGGCAAGTCCAGCTGCAGTGGACAGGGCATCTACCAGCCAGGCGACTATGTCGACTACTTATTTTTTTCGGTGCAAAGCTATCGCGTCGAGGAGACTCTCTGCGTGCGCGTGCGAAACAAGGATGCCGCCACGCACTCCTCACAGCCACAGAAACCCTAAGAGTTCAAACTACCTCAACGACATGCCTGCAGAGGCTTCCGTCAAGCGAATCCTCAAACTTGTGGCCGCCACCAAAGCGATCCCCATAATCCAAACTACCTCAACTACTCGCCTGCAGAGGCTTCCTTCAAACGAATCCTTTCGACCAGCAGCGGAGGAGGAGATGGAGGAGGAGGAGGAGGAGGAGGAAGAGGAGGAGGAGGAGGAGGAGGAGGAGGGAGGAAGAGAGAAGAGGAAGAAGAGGAAGCAACAGAGAGAGAGGAAAGAGGGGGAGGGCAGTACCGACCACGCTAGGGGACGGACGACGGATCCGAAGCAAAGCCTCGAACCCACCTGCAAAAAACAGAAAAGGGGAGGAGGAGGCAGAGGGCGGAGAAGGAGAGGAAAAGGAGGGAGCCGAGCAGGGAAAGGAGTGAATAGCGACGAACTCGTGCGTGCGCAATCCAGCCTTGAGCTGACGACGCACAAGGTCCCACACGAGCAAGCTAAATGGCAGGATCTGGACATATGATAGCTGTAGGGCGAACGGCCAGGCACGTATAACGAGCAGTGTGGAGCCGGACTTGGGGGGAGCAGGGGTCGGGAAGCTCTGAGAGCAAACCGCCCCTGTCGCCCCCAAGGCGGTGAGCGCCGCCCCGCGAGACAGGGACCAGCGCCAGTGAAAGTAAAAAATAGCCAGAGACTAACATTCAAGGCAAAGCTGTGAACGAAGCGAGGGAGGCGGAGAAAGGGGGAAACGGAGCCCCAAACGAAGCGGGCCCTAGCTGCAATATCCTATGGCTAGGGCAGCGGCACGGGCTGCTCAGGCAGAACTCAAGGGACGAGTCAGGAGGACATGGGCACGAGGTCCATGTGGGTGACCCTGCCACCACCCCATAAAACAATGCCAAATCCTCGAAGCCCTCACGCGTAGGTGATGATGCTAGCGACGGAGCTGGCGTCGGTGCTGGTGTAGGTGACGGCGATGGTGCTGGCGGTCGTCTCTTTTGCACAAAAAGGCGCTGGCGTTGGTGCTGGCCTCGATACTGGCGACGGTGCCGGCGTCCGTGCCGACGTAGACGCAGGCGTTGGTGCCGGCGTACGCGTTGGCGTCGGTACTGGCCTCGGTGCTGGCGTCGGAGCCGGCGTCGATGCTGATGTCAACGATGATATCGGAGCTGATGAAGTCGGTGGCGTTAGCGCTGGCGCCGGTGCCGACGTTCGTGCTGGCGTCGGTGCTGGCGTCGGCGCTGGCGTTAGGGCGGGTGCTGCCGCGGGCATTCGTGCTGGCGGCGGTGCTGCTGCAGGCGTCGGCGTTGATGCTGGCGTCGGTGGTGGCATCGGCGCTGGTATTAGGCGCTGACGTTGGTGCTGACGCAGGCGCCTGGCGTTCGTAGGCGCAGGCAAGGATGCTGGCACAGCCGCAGGCGATGGTGCTGGCGTAGTCGCTGGCGTCGGTGCTGTCGCCGGTGCTGGTGTAGGCGCTGGCGGTCATGCGCGCCGTCGTAGGCGCAGACGTTGGTGCCTCGCACCACTACGCGTCGAACTCATGGATGTCAGAGTCGCGTCGCTGCTTTTCTTAGTGCTGCTAGACAAAATGCCGCTGTTGGGTCGTACTGCTCAACGACGTGCTGCGGACCACGCTACATGGTCCACACCTGGATGCCAGGGCCCTGCTGCTGTTCCCCAGTGTGCTGCAGGTGTGCTGCTGGTCGTCGTGCTACTGTTCACCAGTGCTGCTGGGCGTCAGGCTGCTTGTCGCCGTCGTACTGGTCGGTGCTGGCGTCGGTGCTGGTGTAGGCGTCGAGGTTGGTGCCAGCGTGGGCACTGGCGTTGGTACTGGGCGCAGGCGCCGGCGTTCGCGCTGGCGTCAGTGCTGGCGTCGGCGCTGGTGTAGGCGCTGGCGTCAGTGCCGGCGCAATCGCAGGCGTTCCTGCTGGAGTTGGTGTTGGCGTCAGCCCTGGCGCAGGCGCCGGCGATTGTGCTGATGTCGATGCTGGAGTCGAAGCTAGCGAGAACGCCGGCGTTGTTGCTAGCGCTGTTGCGCGTACGCTCCGTCTCCTTGACATGTTGCTGTATTTTGGTTGAGGGGGGGCAGGATTTGTCTCCCGAGCTCCGGCCATCTAGCTGCGGCCAGATGTCGGCCCGACCTGCGCGCTGTGACTCATGTTTTCCGTGGGCTTGCATCTTGATCTCACCCGAAAACTAAATTGTGGCAAAATGTAATGATAATACAAATGCCATTCGCGTATCATGTCCATGTGTGGTGATTGTTACGTACAATGGAACAGGTCGGAAAGTACCTTCAGCCAATCCAACATCTTGCTAATAACCTGTATTGCAGTGTAGAAAGTCACCAGAAGCATAAATAGATACAGCTCTTTCGGCCGCCTCCTCATTCTCCACCGCGAAGTGGAAGTAAATATGAGTATGGGACGTCGGATGCTCTAGGCTGGGTGTCGGAGGGCTGAGTTGGTTGGGCTGGAGGCCGATAGGTCGGGTAGAACCTGGAGGTCAGTGGGAACACGTGGAGATGGAAAGACGGCTGCTGGATGCGAGAGGTCGGAGAGCTGGGCAGGTGGAGTCTGGAAGTCGGGAAGTGAAGCGTCGGTTGCTGGATGTCGGAGAGCTGAGTTGCTGGGAGCTGGAGGTCGACAAGTGCGCGTGGAGGTGGTTCCCGTCGAAGTCCATCTCGACGTAGCACTCCCGGTGCCGCACCGCATGGTAGGTCAGGACGTCGGCGTCTATCTGCTCGTTCTTCGGGCCGGAGGCGTCGGCTGGCATCCCAAGCGGCGGGGAGGGAGACGCAGCCACCATTGCGGCAACTGCGAGTTGTAGCAGGTAGCGGAGGGTTGTTGGCTCAAGGACGTATTGTGTATTCAGTGCGGGTGTGGACCTATTTTAAAATACAATATTTTAGAATAGGTCAGTGCCTCCCCTCCTTCGGGCGGGGGGCTCATGCCCAGCCTGGCCAGCTCAGACGCTCGTTCCTTGAGCCTTGAGCCAGGTCACCAGCATGCTGGAGGTTGGATGTGCTGCGCTGGTGGAGCTTGTAAGTCGACAGGCGAGGGTGCAAAGTCGGATGCAGGGAGCTGAAGTCGGAAGGGTGTGCTGGTGGGCACTGGAGGTCGAGGCCATGAGGTGGAAGTGGAGGAAAGTCGGATGCTTGGGGCTGGAGGTCGGAATGTTGAACTGGTGGAGGTTGGAGCTCGGTAGTTGGAGGTGGGAGTGAAAAGTCGGATGCTGGATGCGAGAGGTTGGATGTGCTGAGCTGGTGGAGCTTGTAGATCGATAGGTGGAGGAAACTGTGTCGACTACTACCGGCGGAATGCGGACAAAGACACGTCCGGCTGGAGAGGCCCAGTCAAAGTCGTCGAAAATCAGCCCAACAAAGGAGGAGTGTTATGTCGGATCAACAACAGAGACCAGCCGTGTAGGTATCAGGACGTACGTCACACTTTCCACCTGACCTTCCTCACGCAGCTGGTGCACTTTAGTGGCAAAGACGACCGTGCACGGTCAAAGATGTTGGCAACCGTGCTCGATCACGCCGAAGCCCTACGAGGCGCGCAGCAACTTGTGGGAGCGCTCTGCGACACGCAAACGGCACGATGGACATCTTCCGCAGCTTTGCGACAAGACCACCGTTTTGCGGCAGCATTGCATGATGTCGTCACGAACTTGTTTTGCCTAGAACGTGCGGTGGCCGTCAGGTTGTCGCAAGGAGTGCAACGACTATCGAAACTTACAGGGGCAGATCTTTATTACCTCTATGTTTGGCAGCCGGGCGTCTTCGCGAATGTCCACATTATCGAGCACGGT